AGCCTGATGCGGGGCTCGAACTCACGGACCGCGAGATCATGACCTGAGCTGAAGTCGGACGCTTAACCGACTGAGCCACCCAGGCGCCCCGAGGAGTAGATTGCTTAATGTCCCTACCCATTTAGCCCATCACCCCCTCACAACCTATCCAGCAACCTTCTGCTCCCTATATTTAAGAGTCTCATGTTTTGTCCCCCTCCCTGTTTTTGTATTATTTTTGCTTCCCTTCCCCTATGTGCATCTGTTTTGTATATATTAAAGTCCTCATATGAGTGAAGTCATATGATATTTGTCTTTCTCTAATTCAATTAGCATAATACCCTCTAGTTCCATCCATGTAGTTGCAAATGGCAAGATTTCATTCTTTTTGATTGCCTACTACTACTCCATTGTATATATATGCCACATCTTTATCCATTCATCTGTTGATGGACACTTGGGCTCTTGCCATACTCTGGCTATTGTCAATAGCACTGCTATAAACATTGTGGTGCATGTGCCCCATCAAAACAGCACACCTGTGTCCTTTGGATAAATACCTAATAGTGCAATTGCTGGGTGATAGGGTAGTTCTATTTTTAATTTTTTGAGGAACCTCCATACTGTTTTCCATAGTGGCTGTACCAGTTTGCATTCCCACCAGCAGTGCCAAAGAGATCCTCTTCCTCTGCATCCTCGCCAACATCTGTTATTGCCTTTGTTGTTCGTGTTACCCACTCTGACAGGTGTGAGGTGGTATCTCATTGTGATTTTAATTTCTATTTCCCTGATGATGAGTGAAGTTGAGCATCTTTTCATGTGTCGGCTGGCCATCTGAATGTCTTCTTTGGAGAAGTGTCTATTCATGTCTTTTGCCCATTTCTTCACTGGATTATTTGTTTTTTGGGTGTTGAGTTTCATAAGTTCTTTATTGACTTTGAATACTAACCCTTTATCTGATATGTCGTTTGCAAATATCTTCTCCCATTCCGTCAGTTGCCTTTTAGTTTTGCTGATTGTTTCCTTCACTGTGCAGAAGCTTTTTATTTTGATGAGGTCCCCGTAGTTCATTTTTGCTTTTGTTTCCCTTGCCTCCAGAGATGTGTTGAGTAAGAAGTTGCTGCGGCAGAGGTCAAAGAGGTTTTTGCCACTTTCTCCTCCAGGATTTTGATGGCTTCCTGTCTTATGTTTAGGTCTCTCATCCATTTTGAGTTTATTTTTGTGTATGGTTTAAGAAAGTGGTCCAGGTTCATTTTTCTGCATGTTGCTGTCCAGTTTTCCCAGCACCACTTGCTGAAGAGACTGTCTTTATTCCATTGGATATTCTTTCCTGCTTTGTCCAAGATTACTAGTTGGCCATACGTTTGTGGGTCCATTTCTGGGTTCTCTATTCTGTTCCATTGATCTGATTGTCTGTTTTTGTGCCACCAAATGCCTTTTTATTCAATGTAATAACAAGCTCCCTGGAGACAGAAACTCTGTGTCCTGTTTGCATTTAGTCCCTAACTCAAAGCTCAGGGCCTGGACAGGAGAGATACTTGATATGTATTTGTTTATTAATAAGAATCATTCTCCCTTCTCAACCATCAGCAAAGGGTTTTACCCAGATTCATCTAAACACATAGACATCTGCTTCAGCCAACACAGGAGGAAGCCAACATAGAAACAAAGCTTTTTTTTAACAGCTGTATACCAATCAACCATAATAAAGATTATTACTTGATCTTCAGGGAAAAACTTGTGATGTCATCATTGATTGCTGACAATTGCTGACACCAGTAGAACTCCCAGAGGAGAGTCTTGCCCTGGCTCTGAAACTTCTGTAGCGGTTCAGACATCACAAGCAGTCCTTCTCATGACTCCAGAGCCCCTTAAAATTGACCTGACGGAGGAGCCAACCACATTTGAAAGCCACTGCATTGGCACATGAAAAAACCAGCATGTTGGCTACACTATAACAATCTTAGTTTAGTTTTTTCAAGAGTCAAACTAGTCAAACTATAACTAGGTTAGTAAGATTAATCCTCATGACCTATAATAATAACAATCGAGGCAGACATGTGTTGGGCACTTATTTAGAGACAGGCATTGTGCTAAGCACTTTACCTAATCTCAGCCTGATAACAATTGATCAGTGTTGGAATTATTAATGAACCCCATTTTACAGGAGAAAATGAGGAAACTGACTTACGTAACTTGCCCATGGCTAAAAAGCCATTAAAGGTGGTAGAATCAGGCCATCAATCCAGTTTGACTTCAGAACTCTCACATTTCCTCTGTGCCACTTATAAAATTATCTGATCTTGAGGAAAAAATAATTGGTATCTCTTTGCTTCACGAAATACAGTTGACCCTTGAACATCATGGGGGTTGGGGCACTGACTCCCACACAGTCAAAAATCGGTGTATAAATTTTGGCTCCTCCTTTGAGGCACCCAGGTGGCTCAGTCAGTTAAGCATCCCACTCTTGATTTTGGCTCAGTTTATGATCTCACGGGTTCCTGAGTTCAAGCCCCACATCAGGCTCCTTGCACTGACAGTGCAGAGCCTACTCGGGATTCTCCTTCTCTCCTCTCTCTGCCCCTCCAGTATACACAGTCTCCCTTAAAATAAATCAATAAACTTTAAAACAAATTTTTTGGCTGCCCTAGAACATAACTACTAATTGCCTACTATTGACCAGAAAGAAGCCTTACTGATAACATAAACAGTCGATTAACACATATCTTGTATGTTGTATGTATTATATACTATATCCTTACACTAAAGCAAGCTAAAGAAAAGAAAATATTAAGAAAATCGTTAAGTACTGTACTATAAAACACCTATGTATAAATGGAGCCATGCAGTTCAAACCTATGTTGTTCAAGGGTCAACTACATTTCCAAGTTTGAGAATTTGGCTGGATAAGAAAGTCAGACATTTAGTCTTACTAAGGACATTGTACTTGACCACGCTGAAACATCCAGAAATATCAGTTTGACCCTAGTCGTATACAATTTGAAGCTAGTGTTTGAAAATTAAAATGATTTATTGATCCAGAGTTCAGGGTCGTTGTATCCTTGTGTATGAGGCAGAAACCACTTCATATTCTAACACAAACTCCCTTGACATTCAAGCACTTACATACAGTTAACATCACACCAAACTGTAATCACCTAGAAAGCTGGCTGACCCTAAACTGACTAGCTTTTATCAAGCCATTTGAAACTGAAATAACGGTACAATCTGAGCCTTGATTCCAGACTAGGAAAGGTAAACACATTGTTCACATTCAAAAAGGCATTTGGCTCCTGACCTATAGTAGGCATGAATGGTTGGATGGATGGATGGATGGATGGATGGATGGATGAGAGATAGAAGGAATGCATGAGGGAGATGGATCCTCAGAAACGTAGACTTAGTTAGCAAGTAGTCTACATACCACTCTTAAATGACATGATCTGAGCACAAACATTGTTTTAGCTTTGGTAACTCATATTCGTACTGATAATCCTGAAATTAGGACACAGTGAGGCCCAACGCATATAAAGAGCTTTGCTGATAAAAGAGGAAAGGTCCCACAGTTTATTCTTCTTTAAGTCTTTGAAATCAAATCCAACCTCTTGTGCAGAAAACTCAGGTGTGATGGTGAGTGTGCCTGTGTCGGTTATCTTGCTGCTAGAAAAGCTACCCTCAGTGCCTTTCATGTACTGTGGTGAATGGGGAGTTTTAACCAACAGCTTTGCTGAAGCTTGTAGCTTCCTTAATAACACAGACAATAACAACACTGTTGAGCATCCAGTAGCTGCCCATTTTATAGATGAGAAGACTGAACCTCACTGCACTGACTGGTCCGGGCCACACAGTCTAAAGAGAGATGGATTCAAAGCCGTGTCTAACTCCAACAACCAGATTCCTTCAGCTAGTCCAGGCTGCCTCTTTCAGTGCTGCCAAAGATTTAAGGAGGCTGGATCTAAAGGTTTGGCAGGAAAGTAACAATTCTTCATGAATAATGATGAGAGAGAAACATGCACAACTGAGTTATTATGGTGGCAGGATTAGAGTTCAATATTTACTTTCCTTTATTTACTATTCTGTGGAAACGACAGAGTGCTGTTTCTGTATCACTGAGTAATCTATTCCAATTAATTCACGAGTTCCTGCAACTTTTCCATTTCATTACATTGCACCCTAACGTTGCATCATAATAACAACTACTGTTTGCCTGAATTATGCCTTAGTCTGCAGAAGCATTAACTGAGGAGTTCCTGGGTGGCACCATTTAAATTTTCTTGAGCAACCCTCTTTGATAACATGCCGATTTCAGGGACATTGAATCACCACACTTAGCTCTTATATAATTTAACATAAAGAACATTATCAGTATGCACAGCGCTTAGAGGAAACTATAAACTCAACCATAGCATGTGCTGTCTGTGGTTTTACCAAAGTATAGTGGCTAAGATTTAGATTCAAGTCGAAGATGTGATGGATGCTAATGGTGTTCACTTTTAGCACTTGAGGAAGGTTGGTTTCCATAAAGCATAAAATGAAAGTGGGGCATTCAAACTAAGATGTGAAAACTACCTGCTCCCAGAAGTATTCATTTTAGGTACAATTCTCCAGAATACTTCCTCACCAGTATCCCAGAGTTTGTTGGTTCCTAAAGAGGTGGAAGGTGGAGATAGGCTCTCCAGAGGGAGTTCCGGAATGGGGCTAATTGTCACAATGGCTGGCATTAAGCAGGTAGAGAGGTGCCCAATATCCTGCAATGTGCCAAAACGAGGGTTGTCCCCACCTCCTATCCACCAGGGGCAATAGCCCCTCCAGTGAACAACACTGGAGGACCCCAATGAGGCCCTCTCACACGGGATGATGGAACATATAAGCCGCACCTCAGCACCCAGACACTGTAGTCCCTCTACAGCAGTGAAAGACGATCACATAACCCAAGGGTTAGACTCGGAAAAAGAGTAAAACACCAAGGGATCGTTTTAAACGCAACATGATTATCACTTTTTTTTAATTTTCTTCTTTAGGAAAATGTTGAAGATGGCCGAGCGAGTATCTATCAATCTGTCATCAGCAACACCAGCAAAGAAATGTCCTGTTTCAGTGACTTTCCAATGCCTGAAGACTTTCCAAACTTCCTGCACAATTCTAAGCTCCTGGAATATTTCAGGATTTTTGCCAGAAAGTTTGATCTTCTAAAATATATTCAGTTCCAGGTATTGTATTTTGGGGGGAATGGCTTTCTCCACATGGGTTCAGCTCACATTTAAATAGAGAAGTTACTCTGGTGATTAAGAAAAAGTGAAGAAAACAAAATATTTCAATCCAATTCTTTGCTGAAAGATAAGAGCAAGATAGAAAGCCCAAAAGGTAGTGTCACTAACCCCGATATTATAGATTACATGCACATTAGCAGAAGAGGAAAATCACCTGTTAAAACTAAGGATTTGAATAATGATAATATTGACCATGAAACTGCACTTAAGCTAATATCTATAACCCCTGCAGACCCCTAGCCTCATTTCCCTTGAAAGAATAGAAGAAGAAAATCAAACTGCTATTTCATTTTTGGATCTTCTCTGTAGAAATGGAATTGCTGAGAAATACATATGAAATAAACTCACAGCTCTCCATTCATTTCATAAGCCTGTAGAAACTATTTTTGGTCTTTTGGGGCGGGAAGGCATGGCACATTCTCTGGCAACATAAGGCTGGTTGGATCATTTTTAGATACAATTAGAACCACCTTTCCTGTGCTCCCTCAAAAACAAATAATCAACAAGAACAATATTCTCACTATAGATGCTGGATTTTTATCAATAACCTACACTCTGAAAACTAGTAACTGTGCTTAGGAAACAAAATTAAATTATACCTCTGGATAAATAACTGTGAGTGAGCTTATTTTCTTGTAACACAAGAAAAAAAATCTCATTTTCTCAGTATTTTCATTTTTGTTCCAGGTTTGCATTCTATTAATTTATAGTAGCTGATTGTGGTGGAAATCTATATTTGTAACTACCATGAAAATGTATCTGATGTAGTTTTCCCCAATGCCTGGCAGAACCATCCTATGAACAGATTTTTTTGTACCAGAAGCTTTAATAGGTCTTTGCCCATTTGACTATCAATTTATTTAACAGATATATTGCCCTCTTATGATATCGTTTGTGTTATGTGTTCTTTGAAAGGTCACGTCAAAGTTGCAAGGGAGCTGTTTCTTTTGTTTATTGCATTACTGCTGTTGGATTCCTGGAGATTAGAGAGGGGTTAGGAACACTCATTTCCATTATTAGTCTCTTGGTACAAGTCATAAGATATTAGGGCTCCACTCGATCTATAAAAGCTCTGTTGCATTTCTAATAGCCTCCTGAGTTGCACTGAAGGTGTTAGTTCCCAAAGCACATTTTTAGTAGCAATAACCCACAGTGCTTTAGCTAATATACTACCCTAAACTGCAAATCTGAAATCTTTTCTCATAGCCAACAATGCCCAGACATTTTATAATACGTTTGCAAACTTTATACTAATAGTCTATATATTTTCTTAATTGGCACAGCTTCAAAAATTGCCAACCCAGCGTTTTTTTTAAATATCTGAAAATTTGAAAAGCAGGTGTATGGGACTCAAATACTTGTAAGCAAGAGAAGCATGCCATGACTCTAGAAGTAAGAAAAACTTTGTTTCCACTTGACATTGTTTCTTAAACACCAAAGATGTATAACCTTTATGTGCATTTACAAATTCATAGACCTCCAGTGAGCTACATTAAAAAAAAAAAATTAATGGGGGTGACTGAGTGGCTCAGTCGGGTTAAGCATCTGACTCTTGATTTCAGCTCAGGTCATGATCTCATGGCCTGTAAGTTCAAGCCCCACATCAGGCTCTGTGCCGACAGTGCAGAACCTGCTAGGGATTCTCTCTCTCTCTCTCTCTCAAAAATAAACTTAAAAAAAGGATTTCCTATTAAAAAATTAATGAACATAAATTATTTCATCCAAATGAGATCATGAACTATATTGCTAACATGATGTACTCTGTTTTAAAAATAATTAATATGAACAGCTACCATTCATGGGATGCTGACAATGTGCCAGGCACCATGCAAAGTGCTTCACACGAGATGTCTTCTCTAGCACAGATTCTGCACAGAGGTGGACACATAAAAGTTTCTTAATCAATACTGACTGTGCGATCACTTGAACAATAAACAATGTGTTTTGTATCTTGCCCAGAACTTGTCTGTCTCTCTCAAGTCCTTATTCAGTCCTTAACAGACAGGTTCTCACTGCTGAGTCAGGCCTCTTGCACAAAGTTCCATATCCTTGGTAGCTCCCTGCCAAATAAGAATGAGAAGGGGACGCTTCGCAGTCTCTGTCTTCAGTGAGTTGAAATGGATTCAAATGGAACCGAGATGGAGTCTGCCCATCCCCACTCCCAGGGTACTACTGAATGAAGCCCCTGTTATGCCAGAGGAACGCTCAATGATGCCTTCTCTGTGTTCGTTCAAGACAACCGTCCTCAGTGTGAGAAAACAACCAGATTTCTCATCCTCTGGCCAATGGGAGGTTGTTACTGAGAGCAACAGCAAGAAGCAAAGCGCTGTCTTTGACGCGGTTATGGTTTGCAGCGGCCATCACATCCTCCCTCACATCCCACTGGACTCCTTTCCAGGTGAGGCCTGCGGGGATTCCCAGCTTTTTGGAGTAGGTCTTGTTGGGGAGGAAAAATTTTCCTCGACCCTTCCACATTCTTTTGGCTAGTCTCAGAGTTAAATTGACAAGACAGACTAAGAGGAAAAAGTTTAATTTAATTATGCATATAGAGACTCCGTAAGAATATGAGGCCCACAGGCAGTCAGGCAATTGAGGCTTGTGTGCCATTCTGAGCTAAAGAGAAGGGGGCATGGGTTAAGGGCTTCAAAGGGAAGGAAGTCAGTTCACAGGAAGGTGGAAAAGCCTTCTGTTTGATGGCCCATCCAGAAACAATGGGACACAGAGAGGAAGTTTAACAAACAGACTTTGCTAAGTTCCTCCCTGTCTACCTCCCCTAGTTCATATTATACTGTAGTTATCGACAGTGACAGCTCCCTCCCAGGAGCAGGTCCTCTGTCTAAATTCTTTTAGGCAGTCGGGGGAAGTCAAAAGTTTTCTGTTTTAAGGAGGCTTCTGTTCCTTAAGAATTACTAGCTTAAAATAATTCACATGCCAAGGAGGCTCATTTCGAGGTGATGAATTTGGCTGCCCTACAGTGTCCAGGTATTTTATATGCAGATTGGATTGACAGGCAAAATTAGCTACTGCAACGGGACATAATATTAAGATCTGGATAGAGCCAGAAAAATGAAAAGCTCCACACGCCATCTTTGTTCCCATTGACCTCTTTGGGTCTTCATGACACAGGGACTTCGGCCAACTTCCTCCAAAGTCACTAAATCTTCCCTGGGATTTCAGAGAACTTTCACCCAGATTGGTTCTCCATTGGCAAGGCCCTTATCCATGTGCCTACCTTGGCCTTTATCTAGCCTACCAAACCCTGTGACTCTGTTATATCCTTGGAGACTTTTCCTCAGAGCCATGCCTACAGACAGGGATATTGAGGAGATTTCCTGGCAATAAGTGCTCCTACAGGACACTGATGGACACAGAGAGAGTGAAGGAGAGGGATGTAGCCAATGGAACCCCCCATCCATCTCTCCTGGTACCTCACAGGCCCTTCTCTCAGAGAGCATACTTCCTTCTCAAGGCCCTCGGGGGAATGTCTAATACAGTGGTTCACAGTCCAGACCTCACACTCAAACCACCTGTGGAGTTTGTAACATCCTAATGACCCCCAAAAGTTCATATGATATAAGGTAGGCCTAGATCAATTAAGGGTTGCTCAAGTGATTTTAATATACAGCCAGGCATAAGATCTTCTACCCCAAAGCAAACAGAATCACCTGGTGGGCTTTTAAAACCACAACTTGCTAGGCTCCACCTCTGGTATTTCCAACTCAGTAGATACGGTGTCATGAGGCTGAGAATTTGCATTTCCAACAAGTTTCCAGGTTCCAGCTAATGATGCTGGCCAAAGGACCACACTTTGAAAACTAATGATCTAAAGGTTCTTTCAAGCAACCCACGATCAAAGACAAATACTTTAATAAAGTCATATTTTCCTGGGAAAGACAGAGAGAGGCTTGTCTTCAAAAAGGTTTGTCCAGTGAGTTACTGACTTACCGCAATGTAGGAAGCGTCCTTCAATTTCTAGGTGCCTATTTTTAGTTTATTTTCATTTTTGTTTGCTTTTGCAAAATAAGAATGACAAATATTATTCTAATTATTACACAACTACAATAATAGCACTTCACAATATGTCAAATAACATTTAAAAGAATACATGTGTTAAGTGATATTAAAGTATCACTATACAATCCAAAATAGGATAGGGATGGCTCAGTCGATTGAGCGTCTGACTCTGACTCAGGTCATGATCTCACTGTTCATGGATTTGAGCCCTGCATCAGACTGCACTGACAGTGCAAAGCCTGCTTGGGATTCTCTGTCACCCTCTCTCTGCCCCTACCCTGCTCTCTCTTTCTCCCTCTCTCCTTCTCAAAAATAAAAAAATAAACAAACAAAAAAATAGGATAATGGGTAGTGAGAAGCCAGCATTTGACTCTGCTGTATTCATTGAAGCCATTTGTTTATTCTCTAATAAATATATAAGCTGCAGCCTCTGAAATCAACTCTTTTGGTCCTGTGCCATATGCTAGCATTTCTTCTATACTTAATTCTTTGAGTCTGCCAATAGGTCTTGCCATTGCAACCCCCCTAAGAGGGGAAGAGGTAAAATAAATAACTGACCCCAGAAAAGAAAAGCTGAAAATGCACTTTTACTGAAATGTACGTGGTTCATGGATTTCTCTCTTCTACCCCTGAAGGTATTGAGAAGTTCAAAGGCCAGTATTTCCATAGCCGCCAGTACAAGCACCCAGAGGGATTTGAGGGGAAACACATCCTGGTGATTGGACTAGGAAACTCAGCCTCAGATATTGCCGTTGAGCTGAGTAAGAAGGCTGCTCAGGTGGGATGCTCTCTGCTTATCCTGTACCATGGAGGAAGGGAGGAGGGACATATTGGAAAACCCCAGCCACGTAACCAAAAAGCTCCATTACTCATTAATTGGTTGGTCAGTTGGTTCCTACAGTGCGGTATCATAAAAAAAAACCTGGTAGTCAGGAAGCCAAGGTTTACCTCCCAGCCCTGCCATTAATCAGCCATGTAACCCAGAGTAAGTCTTCTTCTCTGAGCCATATATGTGATATATCACCTACACAGTAGATTCCTCCCACAAGGGACAATGCCCTGATTTCAACAGCATTCCTTTTTGCTTACCAGGTTTTTATCAGCACCAGACATGGTTCCTGGGTCATGAGCCGTATCTCCGAAGATGGCTATCCCTGGGACATGGTGTTGCACACCCGGTTTATCTCCATGCTCCGAAATGTCCTGTCACGATTCAAAATATTTCGAAAATGGATGATGGAACAGCATATGAATCGGTGGTTCAACCATGCAGATTATGGCCTTCAGCCTCAAAACAAGTAAAGTCATTTTGCTTTTTCATGATATACTCATTGATAAAGCAAGGGTGTTAGAGGTGCCTCTTGGTAAAGAGCCAAATTGCTAACACAGCATTTCAAACTACAACCTAACAGTATGGGTATTATAGACATTCCAGGATTTGAATTCCAAATTTGTGCTGCATACCTTTTAAAAAGTAAATACTTAAAGAGATGAAATAGAAAATATTATGAACTTTTTTACAGTTGAGTAATATTCCATTGTGTACATATACCACATCTTTTGTATCCATTCATCTGTCAATGGACAATTAGGTTGCTTCCATATTTTGGCTATTGTGAATAATACTGCAATGAACATTGGGTGCATATATTTTTTTTTCAAATTAGTGTTTTCATTTCTTTGGGCAAATACCCAGTAGTGGAATTACTGGATCACATGGTAATTTTATTTTTAATTTTTTGAGGAAATTCCATACTGTTTTCCACCATGGCTGCACCAATTTGCATTCCCACCAACACTGTGTTAGGGTTCCTTTTTCTCCACATTCTCACCAACACTTAGTATTTCTTGTGTTTTTATTTTAGTCATTCTGACAGGTATAAAATGCTATCTCATTGAGGTTCTAATGTGTCTTATGATTAGTGATGTTGAGCATCTGTTCATGCAGCTGTTGGCCATCTATGTCTTTTTTTGGAAAAACATCTTTTCGGGTCTTCTGCCAATTTTTAATTTTTTTTTTTAATGTTTATTTATTTTTTTGGGACAGAGAGAGACAGAGCATGAACGGGGGAGGGGCAGAGAGAGAGGGAGACACAGAATCAGAAACAGGCTCCAGGCTCCGAGCCATCAGCCCAGAGCCTGACGCGGGGCTCGAACTCACGGACCGCGAGATCGTGACCTGGCTGAAGTCGGACGCTCAACCGACTGCGCCACCCAGGCGCCCCTTCTGCCAATTTTTAACTGGATTACTTGGCCATAAAAAAGAATGAAATCTTGGCATTTGCAACAGCATGGATGGACCTAGAGACTATAATGCTAAATGAAATAAGTTAGAGAAAGAAAAATACCATACGATTTCACCCAGGTGTGGAATTTAAGAAAGAAAAACAAACAAACAAAAAAAAATAGACTCTTGAATACAGAGAACAAACTGGTGGTTGCCAGAGGGGAGGTGAGTGGTGGGATGGATGTAATAGCCCAAAGAGATTAGAGTACACTTCTCTTGATGAGCACCGAGAAATGTGTACAATTGTTGAATCACTATATTACACATCTGAAACTAATATAACACTGTATGTTAATTATACTTGGATAATAAATTAAAAAAAGAAAAGGAAATATTAAGAGCTGCTTCAGAAAGCAGAACTAGGATCATAGGAAGAACTTCCTAATACCCAGAGCTGTCCAACATTGGAAAAGGCTCCTTTTGTTGTTGTTGTTGTTGTTTGTTGGCTTTTGTTTGTTTGGTTGGTTTGGTCTGAACCACAGACATTTATTTCTCATAGTACTGGAGGCTGGGAAGTCTAAGATCAAGGTGTCAGCAGATTCGGTTTCTGGTGAGAGCATTCTTCCTGTCCGGCAGACAGCTGCCTCCTCACTGTGTGCTCAAGTGAGGGGGAGAGAAAGAGAGCTGGTTCTTTAATGCCTCTTCTTATGAGGTCTCTAATCCTATTGGATCAGGGCCCCACCCTTATGATCTTATTTTACCTTAATTATCTTTTTTTGTTCTTTTTTTGTTTTCAGGAGTAAACTTCAGTGATTCACCTCTTACATGTAACACCCAGTGCTCATCCCAACAAGTGCCCTCCTTAAGGCCCATCTCCCATTGAGCCCATCCTCCCACCCACCCACCGCTCCTACAGCAATCCTCCCTTTGGTCTCTGTATCTGAGAGTCTCTCATGGTTTGCCTCCCTCTCTGTTTTTATCTTTTCTTTCCCTTCCCCTATGTTCATCTGTTTTCTTTCTTAAATTCCACACATAAGTGAAATCGTATGATATTTTTCTTTCTCTGGCTGACTTATTTCACTTAGCATAATACATTCTAGTTCCATCCACATTGTTGCAAATGGCAAGATTTCATTCTTTCTGATTGTTGAGTAATATTCCATTCTGTATATATACCACATCTTCCTTATCCATTCATAAGTCAATGGACATTTGGGCTCCTTTCATAATTTGGCTATTGTTGATAGCACTGCTATAAACATTGTGGTGCATGTGCCCCTTTGAATCAACGTTTTTGTATCCTTTGGATAAATACCTAGCAGTTCAATTGTTGGATCATAGGGTAGTTCTATTTTTATTTTATTTTTTTTATTACATTTTTTTAATTTATATATGAAATTTATTGTCAAATTGGTTT